ACAAGAAAATCATCTCGGCTCTTATAATTTGGATGATTGCCTTTTCTTAAGGCTCAAAAGGGGTGACTAAGGACAATGTAAAGTGGTTAGGATAAACAAACATGGTCTCTCATCATTGAATCTATTAGCTCTTGAATTTGATCATGATTTGCTATTCTTAGTCTAATGATTGCCATCATTTCGATATCTAAAGCTTCAAAACTCTCAAAAAGGACTTTTCTTTTGGGTTGTAATGGGGTTTGGTTAAGGTTTTTATGAAAAGAATGGAAATTAAAGGCTCAAATTTTCCAAACATGCTCCCCAAGTTACATGCCTTAGCTAGAAGCTTTCTATTTCAACCTTTGCCATGTGACATTTCCATTGTCATTTCTCTTTTTTCTTCTTTTTCTTTTCTTTTCTTTTTTTGTTGTTGAGCTTTTGCTCTCTTTGAACTTTGCTCCTCTTTTGAGAGTTCTCTTCATGGCTTTTAGCAACATGATCTTGCCCCCAGTTAGGCACATAACTATATTTCCCGGTTTTGGGATGGGTATGAAAGAAAAGGCTCACTTTTTCTTTTTAGGTTCAACTCGGTTGACAAAAGGATGACACTTTTGGGTAAAGTGTTTGGAAATTAGGCTCATGAAAGATGGCCTTTGATCCTTAAGTTTTTCACTTTAGACCTCAAAATGATGACAATCATTCAACTTAAGTTAGCAAGATTTCCTTATTCTCTCTCTCTCTCTCTCTCTTTTTTTTTTGTATGAGTCTATCACATTTGACTGCAACTTGGCCTTTGATTTTGCAACATATCAATTAGTTCATGGGAAAAATCAAGATCATCATCATCTTCCTTGACATGGATTTGGATCATTTGAAACATATACCAATCTTGAAATGGCATCATTGTATTCAAATTCATCATTAGCAAAGCCTGAAAGCAAAAAGAAACATGGATAAGCAATAGCATGTGAGGAAAGCATATATATGCAAGTTTTTTTGTTTTTGGATTTTTTGTTTTTGAGCATATTAATGGCATCAAATGATGTCTCAATGGTGAATGATGGTTTGGACAATGATTAACAAGAAAAGTTGCATCAAGTTTAATGGATGGTGATATGGCAACATGTGAGACTAAATTGTAAAGATTGGAAAACCAATTAGCATGATAGGAAATATTTCAGAGAATATAAAAGAGCTTGTTATTCCCTCCTTTCATGTAGCCACAAGCTGAGCTATTAGAAAGCTGACTCATTCTACTCATGGATAAATGAAGCAGAGAAAAGCATGACTGTCCAATTGGCCAAAGTGCCCCCAAGGCAGAAGTAATGGTCATGTCAAATAGGGGTTCATCCTTAAGAGCAATAATACTCAAATTTCCCCATGTCCTAGATTTGCCCCTCATTCATTGAATCTATATCCACATGTCTTGTGTGTAAGTCCACTTCAACATCATATTTTGGTGAGCTTAGAAGAGTATGTTGAAGGTTGCCTTCTAGATAGGTGATCATTGCTCCAAAGAGTGAGAAAACATAGGGAGACTATCATGCCTGATTTTTTTGTTTTTGTTCTTGAAGTAGTTTATGAAACCTACCTACAAACAAAAAGTAAAAGAAAAATAAACAAAGTTAGAATAATGTTAGAAGTCATCCCATAATTTTGCATGATTTAGTGCTTTAACAATTGCTATATGGATTCACACATTGTTGATTTCCAATCCTTAAGGAGCCTCGGATGAAGCAAAATATCTTTGAACGCCTTGAGATTTCCATAGACTCCAAGGGCTACATAGAAGACATTTACAAGTAGTTCAACATGCATTACAAAGACGGTCATTCATTACAAAGTAAAAGCCTAGTACATCACACTAAGTACATCAACATGGTAGCATTCAAGTCCCTAGTAAAATCTGACTCCTAGATCTTTCAAAGTACAATTGTCTAATGAGGAGTAACATTCCTTTTCTTGATGAATCCCTTGATTGTTAGAGCAACATGATGTGTGATGTGCTTGAACTTTTGATCTTCAAAGCTAGTCTTGGTTCTTGTCCTTCTAAGCTTGCCCCTTGGACTTGGCAATTGTGAATGATAGGGGAGAGATGCTTGCAATTGGAGATCTCCTCAATCCTTTGTTGGTCAAAACTTTCTCCATGGATGAATATTTCAAAAGGTATCTTGATTGACGAAGAATCGCACTTGACCATGTATGAATCCATATTTCAATTGTCGAAGGCAGAGAATCAAACAAGATTATGGGAATGCAAGACAAGAAATAAACATGGATGCTAAACAATAGATGAAGGATGCCGGAAGATACATATGCTCTAAAGTGATAATGCGTATGGAGTTGTATCCTAAAGCATGCATTTTTGGGAATGCAAGAAAAGAAATAAATGTGGATGGGAAACAAGGGATAAAGGATGCAAAAGCATAAATATGCTTAAAAGTGGTAATGTGTATGAAGTTGTATCTTAAAACATGATTTTTTTTTTTTTTTTTGATGATTCACCATTGCAAACACTAAATTGGCATTCATGGGAAATATCATTCCTTTGAAAAGAATGCAAATGCCATGAAGCTTGAAGAAAAAGTGAATGGTGTGATACTTGG